AGCTTTCGACCCCGTCGACTACTATATCTTACTGAATCTTCTGGACGATATGGGAATTAGAGGTATAAAAAAATCTGTTTTTCCGTTAATCAGCTGTTGCCCCCGTACGTTGAGAAACTTGTGCGAACTAAGGACTAACGAGGTCTTAACGTGTGATTCCTAACACGGTTGCAGAACCATTCCAGCTTCAACCAGATAAATTCTCTCGGGAAAAATATCTGGTGAAGGCGGGAATCGAACCCACGGCCTTCCAATCGTGAGTCGGGCGCACTACCACCGCGGCCAATTATATACATTGAAACATACTCTCTATGTTTCAATATTCAAATGCATCCGAATCTTATTCACTGGTTTCTTTTTTTCGCATTGTTCACCAGCGCTATTGGAATCACTACACAAGTCTACGTTGTTATCACACTCGTTATTACTATCAGCACTTGTCCAAGGACGCCACATTTTAAACAGATAACGAAAATTTTAAGTAATTATAACTGCACCAATATCGAATTTCAACACTCAAATCGCGATCAGTTCCTGAAATGAACATGTACGACACCACGGCAATACTCATCCCCACATTACATTCGTCACTTCATTGTGTGTCTGTGTATCTGTTAAGACACGCCCGAGGCGTGTCTTAAGACACGCCCGAGGAAGACATTGTATGGCGAAACACGGTTGCGTTTTTGTAAAACTATCTAGTGAAAATCACACAATAAAGTGTTTTTAGAATACGTTACAAATTACTTCGACTATACAAGAAGAGAGACTAGCTTGTCCGAAACGTAGAACAACTAAAAACACCATACGCGGCTTTCAACATATTATTCAAAACTATAGTTCAAGATGTTCGAATAATCGATGTTATTTTTTCAGATGTGTATCACCGCATTGATAATATCTTGTAGTAGACTGGAGAAGAGTGGTGAGGAAGTTATCATCAACTGGCACAGAAAATTGGTATCACTTGAAAACTCGTCACTGAACCGAGAACTTGTTTTGGTTGGAAAATTGATGGAGAGACTGAAACCAAAGTTTTCAGCAGGTGGATTTTTTGATATCGATCAACCCCTATTAGCAACAATACTAACATCTGTGGCTTCTTATTTGATAATTATAATTCAATTCGCAGGGAACGATGAGTTTAGTTCCATTTTCTCAACTGATGTGGATAGCATCACTTCTACGTCTAAACCTTTCAATATCACATACTAGCAGATACTAGCAAACACGTGGCACAAATACAACGAATTACACGTGTCACCAATTTCACCAAAATCGCTTGTGAGTGGAGAAACATACGTCCTCTTTTATGAAACAGTAGAGGAGCCCACGATGCAAAATGGGGATTTACTCGAGCGTCATACAGACATATTAGGTTGCAGAGCTTAGATGATAAGAAGAAAAAAATATTATATACCTTTTCATCGGTGGGGAAAGCGGCTATAGATTTTTAAATTTGTAAAAAAATACTGTTGCATGGACATACTAGAGCGCGTCAGATATTGATAGCATCAATGTCCTACGTTTTTTCAATAATGTTCGTATGTTGATCTGATCGTTTGTATGATGCGGGTGGTTGTACGTAAGGGTTAAAAGTGAAAAGAAAAAAAATTAATCGAGCGCGTCAGATTTTCTTAGGGGGTGTTAAGTGCAACAAAAAAAATCTCACATTAAATAATCTGACGATTTCGACGCATTATTATAATTTGCAAAAAAAATTCGCCATTTTGAAATACTCAAACGCGTCATAATATGATATATATCGTTCATCTTTATGTTCTAGACGTGCTGCCTCATAATCTGACGATTATCTAGAGGGATTCGCCTAATCTGACGAAAAAACATTTTTTTTTTCATTTTTTTTTTCAAATCGTTGAACTTAATTAATTGAAAAGCTCAGGAAATAGCATGCAAATAGATGAGTGAATGTTTTTCAAGTAGAATACTTGTATTTATAAGAAAGTAATCAGCTTTGATGGCGTCATGGCAACAGAATTCAGAGTGGGGACGGAGTGAGAGAGTAATAGATAGAGAAAAAGAGAAAGGGGAATAGAAACTCGGAGAGGGAAATATAGGTATCACACGCATTGAACTTTATCGACGAATTTTTGTTATTTCGGCTTGCGGAAATCGTCAGATTATATATTTTTCATTATCCTTGAATTATTTTCTTCAAAATAAAAAAAATTAGCTACGAGAATGTCGAAATGACGTTATTTTTTTACAACTTTGCTGCCCTCCCCTTTCTTTACGTCACTCTCAAAGTGTCAGATTACTGGAATATACACTTTTTAGCATGTAATTAACTCACCCTATCTTAATCTGACGCGCTCAAGAATTTCTGATGATCAATTTTTTTCACTAATCTGATCCTTTGATCTCATATTTGGTGGAGGTACTTAACCGGTTACAAGGATCCCCCTGTATATTAATCTGCCGCGCTTTAGTAAATCTCGAAATCCACGCTTGGGCTCCCCTATTAAAAAAGGTGGAACAAAATCGCAACTTTGAGATAACTGAGGAAAAGTTTCTTTATGCTCCTGTACCAATATATTCGATATTTATATTCAAATATGTATTTGTATTTGTGTAGGTTAGGTCAGGTCCAAAGTGAGTGGGTCTATTCGACCCTCCACCGCAACCCGCGAGGGTTTATTGTGACTCACACCTATTCACACTCGACCAAATAAACCCAGCTTCTTAACGAAGCCGATAAGTTTGTATGGTGAGTGGTCTTTCAGGCCAGATGGTTAGAGTACGGCTCTTTTACCGATCACGAAAGAATAGCACCTAAAGGCTAACTTTCGACCTAAAGAGGTCAGATGTCAATCTTGCTGAAGTGCCCATCAGTAAGGTGAGGACCGCTCGGAGAGCGGAGGTGGATGGAGTGGGGTAGTAGGTTCTCCTCGCCAAATAGCTAGGGGGGGGGAAGACGTTTATGAGGACGATGTTTCTGATAAGAGTGATGATTATATACCAGATGAAAATGGTTATAGTTCTGATAGAGAGTATGAAGAGAATGAAAACCTTGAAAATAACGTTCAACAGCCAATATTAGAGTTTGAAAAAGTACAAGAGGAACCTCAAGATCAAGAAATCATAGAAATAAACAGAGGAACCAAAAAAAGATTGAAAAATGAGAAACTTTGGGCAAAAAATATGAAAAAATTTAAATTAAAAGATTTCAAACCAAGTTATGTCACGACGTTTCGATTGTTAGTATCCACAATCGTCTTCGGGTAATGACTGGACGTATTCCTCCGAGATCTGACTATTTATAGGTCATTCGAGTGCTTTCACCTATTCCCTCTTCCCTCTTTCCGCTTCATTGGTTTTAGCGAGAGATGACCGTTTGGCGGGAGTTGGTCGTTTTCCGCTTGATTAGAGGTTTCCATATGTTACGTATCTCTATGCTAGCTTGACTAAATGCGTTGTTGGACAACATATACGCGGCTTCTTTGAATTTTCTCCTAAACCAGTGTTCCTCTTTGTGGACGATTTCAGCTTGAGCTCACTTGATGTTATGTTGATGAGTCCAAACATGCTCTACCTTACCTAATTTGCTGGTTTCTCCTCGTTGTGTGTGTTTCTTGCGCTCAGCAATGCGAACTTTCAATAGCCTCTTAGTTTCACCGATGTATGATTCTCCGCACTCACAGGGTATCCGGTAAATGCAATTCTTGGAATAGCAGTCCGCGTTTGGTGGCCTAGTTTTTGTGAGGCTGCTACGAATAGTGTTCCCAGATCTGAAGCAAGTCCTGATGTTATACTTGAACCCAATCCGTCTTATCCTTTTCGATAATCCTCTTATGTAGGGAAGTAAAAGTTGTTTACCATTTAGTGTCGGTCCTCTTCACCAATACGTCTAAGAAAGGCAATTCGTTATTGATTTCCTTCTCCATTGTGAAAGTGATGGAGGGAGTTACGTTGCTGATGTGCTTCAGAAAGATGTCTAGTTCTGCATTCTTATGGTTCCATATTATGAAGGTGTCATCAACGTATCTCAACTAGATCGCAGCTTCTAATATGCGATTCCAAGAATTGCATTTACCGGATACCCTGCGAGTGCGGAGAATCATACATCGGTGAAACTAAGAGGCCATTGAAAGTTCTCATTGCTGAAAAATAGAAACACACTCAGCGAGGAGAAACCAGCAAATCCGGAATAGCAGAGCATGTTTGGACTCATCAACATAACATCAAGTGGGTTCAAGCTGAAATCATCCACAAGGAGGAACATTGGTTTAGGAGAAAATTCAAAGGAGCCGCGTATATGTTGTTCAACAACGCATTTAGTCAAGCTAGCGTAGAGATACGTAACATATGGAAACCTCTAATCAAGCGAAAAACGACCAACTCCCCCGCCAAACGGTTATCTCCCGCTAAAACCAATGAAGCATGGAGAGGGAAGAGGGGATAGGTGAAAGCACTCGAATGACTTATAAATTGTCAGATCTCGGAGGAATAAGTCCAGTTATCACCCGAAGACGATTGTGGATACTAACAATCAAAACGTCGTGAAGTAACTTGGTTTGGATTCTTCAAATTTTTATCTTTCATTTTTTGTTAATAATATTTTTTAATTGTTTTAATTGTCAGCTTGTATAAATATTTCAATTTTTTTTGTTTAATTGTTGCTTGTATGCTATTTCTTTGTAATTTCAGTTTGTTGTTTGATAAAATAGTTATTTTCGATGAATCTTTTTGATTTTTTACGGGGATTTCAAATCAATTTATATTATAGTAGACAATGGAAGTCCGAACTGATGAAATACACCATGAAACATTGTCACTTTGAATTGAAGGGGTTATATTTTTAGGAGTGATTAATTTTTGGGAAAGAAAAGATTCCCTCATCCTTGTTTTTTTTTGTATCAAGATGGAGTAGTAGAAAGCCAAAAATTTTCCCAAAAATTGTCAACCACCTTCAAACAAACATTTAGAAACAAGATATTCAAGTAAAAAAATATTTTTTATTGATTATTATAATCATAAAATAACAAATTTGTACATGAAATGTCAAATACATTGAAAAATCAGATCTTGAAAGTACAATTTAAAAAAATATGGCACTATGGAAAAGAAAGCTACATTCATCAGTCCAACTCATGACCATAACAAAATTTCTATTCGACAGGATCAAAATGAATGAGGGATTGAAAAGATAATTTATATAAGAGCAATTTGTCTTCAAGATTCGATATCGGAGAGTAAACCTTTGATGAATAAATTTTCTTCGGCTCCCATTGCAGTCCTGAATTCAATTTTCTTTTTATGAAGACCCTCCCTACTCATTCCAAGGGAATCCTCTTTGAACTTCTTTATGGCATTTTTAATAATATCGTCTCCCTCCTGAAATAAAATACATTTGATGAATAATGACATCACAGAAAAATAAGAATAAAAATGATGAAAATATATCATTCAGAACATTTAATCATGCACTTCAATGTATCGCTTGTATAATCACAAGACATATGCTTCTTCTTTCCTTGATACTTTTTCGGATTGAAACTATAAAAAGACAAGTTAACGGATGTAGCCATTACTACGTGGTAGGTCATCATGAAAAATGAGAATTAAAACTTCTTATGTTTTTTTACCACTTTTATTTGTAACTAACATTACTTTGGTTTCGTTCTTTAAGTACATTTTCAAACTAATACAATGAACATAAACATAAACATGGAGTTCATTGAATTAGTTTGAAACATAAACATTGTATTAGTTTGAAAATGTCCTATTAGGAAGAAACAGCAGTAACATTAGTTACAAATAAAAGTGTTAAAAAACAGAAAGTTTTATTTTTCATTTTTTATGAAGAAAAAGATTCAATTTTGAAACTCACCTCCATTATTCGCCTTTTAACTTCGGGTGCAAAATCACTTATAAATTTTAATCCACTGGCATGTTCCAACTTTTTCTGGTATTTTATGGCATCCTGAAAATAACGATTAATTCAAATAAGAAGTAGTAATGAAATCTCGCAAACAAATTTTCAAAAATACTTCAAAAGTCTCGAAATGAAAACAATCACTGCGTATTTATTTATTGATCAAAATATTCTTTTCGTTTATGTCTGAAAGTTTCTGCTTTACATTATTGACACATCTTTGTAAAAAGCTCATTTTTAAATTAATTGTTTTTTTTTCTTCGAAAGATTCTCACATTTTCGTTGTTTCTTTGCATGAAGAAATATAAGTAGAAAGCAAAAACCCTTCTTTCCAAAAAATTGAAACGTTCTTGAAATAAAAAGTTTGTGTATCAATATCACAGTTGCATGTTCGTTTCTTATTAATGGTAAGCCCTGAAATGAACACTTTATATCGCACAATAATAATAAATATGTATGTATAAACAGGTAAATGTTGATAGTTCAATTATTATCGTTAACTAACTGACAATTAATCAAATTGGCACTATTTACGGTACAATTCCATAATAGTAAGCACTAAATTCTCAAAAATATTATTGCATTGAAACGAAAACATTGTTGAGGTTGTGATTCTATTTATTTTATCATCATTTTTGCTCATCTGTTTAGTATAATTTCCGTACGCCACTGCAAGAGACAGATTAGGGCGGAAACGTCAGTCATTTCTGAGAGTTTAGTGCCTACTATTTTGGAATTATAATATAAGATCAATCCACACTCTAGACTATTTACTGTTTTCACACATGTGCACCAACACGTATATCTGGATTATTGGCAGTGTATATGCGGTGTGGTGATCAATTACGAATGAAAACTAATTAATCTAGTTTACTGTATGTCACTATAAAGGGTTTTATAAAAACCGCGACAATTTTTTTTCAAACTCTGCATTACTTTTTCGTTATTTTTTTGACAAAAACAACATCGTAATCATGCCTCAGACACCGTATTAGCCAGATTTACCCCCTGCGATTTTTTTTTTGTAGGAGACTACCTTGAAGGGGACGACTTTGAGAAAAACGAAAATTCTCGAGAATTCTTTTTGAAGCTATAATTTAAAATATACAAAAATTAACTCTTTGATCGAAATGTTAAATACATAGTTTCTTTTTGATTGTATACAGTGTCTAAAAGCCAAATGGAATAAATTCATTATTTCGGGTAATAAAATCCCGAAACACGTCAAATTTAAATCATAATTTAACATACTTCAACGGAAAATGCTACCTCTACCTTCAATCCCCGTCAAATGACAGGTACAACCCCCAATTTTTTAAATGGGAAGTTTAGGCTTGTGATATATCGTTTGAAAGGTCTCTTCATTCTCTATTCAAATATGTTACCGCTTTCAAGTTTATTGTAACAATTGAGATAAAATAAATTAAAATTATGTGGTTACCGAAATTCGAAAAAATACACTCAAAACTTATTGCAATATACTCAAAACTTATTTCATGTTGAGGTATTGACAATAAGAAAGTAAGCAAAAACCATAGCGATGTTCTTTTTAGATGGTATCCTTTAAAAAACTAAATAATTTCCGTGGCAATGTTGGTTTAAAACGCCTTGTCAACTTGTTTCATATGCAACAAATTAAGTGTCAGTATTTTAAGTTTAAAGTTCGTTAACCTCAAGTCTGACAAATGGTTAGATTAACAGAAATGCATAAAAAAACAGTATTACTAATGATTGGTTACGGAGATAAAACCCAAATACAACAGGAAATAGCTCGCCTATTTCATGAGAATATTCCTAAGTTACCGCCTATACATCAAGGAACAATAACAAAATAGAGAAGCAGTTTCGCGAGCTTGATCATGTGGGGCAGGTAAAAAAAGGCAGCTGCCAATGTAATGAATAATGAACTCAAATTAGATGTGATGCTTGAGTTTCAGGAAAACCCACATACATCAACAGGCATTCACTACATTTAATGCTAGCAATACATCAATAGTAAACATATTGAAAGAGAATAAAATGCATCCCTATAAAATGATACCTACTCAAGAGCTCATGGAAGACGATTTTGATAGAAAAACTTATTATTGTGAGCAAATGATGGACATGTTGGATAACAATATCATCCAATTAGAAGACGTTATGTTTTCTGATGAGTGTACGGTCATGCTAATCGGCAAAATGGCCGCTACTGGTCAACGGAAAATCCGTACTGGATGAGAGAAAAACACAAGCAATACCCTCAAAGGGTTAATGTTTGGCAGGGATTGTAGGAAACCAGTTTAGCAAATTTATATCCTGATCCAGGAAACCCTCAAATTAAGGTGATGGATGTAGTTCCAGCAGGATGGAGCACCACCACATTACCAAGTTAATGTCCGGCAATACCTCGATACAACATTTCCCAATCGGGGGATAGGGAGGCGAGGATCGATTGAATGGCCAGCGCTATCACCTAATCTTTCATCACTAGATTTATTTTCATGGGGATACGTAAAGAGCAATGTGTACAAAACTGAACCTTCAGATTTGAATGACTCAAAAGAACGAATAACGCTTGGGATTAGGTCGGTCACGCCTGATATGTTAAATAATGTAAGAAGACAGTTTTATTTGAGATAAGGATATCGCCAAGACGTTCGCGGTGAAAATTTTGAACATCTACTTCGTTAACATCCATAGTTCTTTCTCGTATTCTACATTTCTTTACGTTTTGCATTACATTTTAGTTTTTGAATGTATTTTCTCGAATATCAGTAAGCACACATGATTTTAATTTATTTTATCTTAATTGTTGCAATAAACTTAAAAGCAACAACATTTTTGGATAGAGAAGAGACCTTGCAAACGATATTTCACAAACATATACTTCCCATTTTAAAAAATTAGGGGCTGTACCTGTCGTTCGAAGGGGGTTCAAGGTAGGGGTGGCATTTTTACGTTGAAGAATGTCAAATTATAATTTACAATCTATGTGTTTCGTGATTTTGTTAAAATATATACAGTAACCAAAATAATGAATTTATTCCATTTTAATAATGATCTCTTTATCTACTCAGATTGATTTGTATAACCACAGGAGCAGAAGTACAAATGAAAAAGAGGAAAACATCAATGTACAATATTGAAAAGAAATAAAACTACACGAAATAGATAAACATACACAGATGTATACCACATAAATATAATAATAGATAATTGTTTCCTATTTCCTTTTATACACTGTATATTAAATATGAATAGCTTACCTCGATAACATCTTCAGGAAATCCCACCATCCTTGCACAATGGATACCATAACTTTTATCACATTCTCCTTCAAGAATGGAATAAAGAGGAGTTATGGTTTTTTCTGTAGTTACTGCGGTGACGTGAAGGTTACCAACATTGGAATTCATCTCTGCAAGCCTATTAATTTCATGGAAGTGTGTTGCAAACAGAGAAAAACATTTCGTTTCTTGTACGAGATGCCTGAAACGTGAAAAAATTGGTGAAATATTACTTGTATTAGGCTGTTTTAACAGTTTCGTCATGTGTTTTTGTAGCTCAATATCTCAATAAATATTTAATTTACTGTGTCGTAATATACAGTGCATTTCTTTAATGCCCCCCCTTTATTTTTTCAACGGGTCAGCTCAAAAAAATTGAAATTTGGGATAATTAAATGGCGAATGGGCGCCATCATTTTGAAGCTCCTGACGGATACTTCACAACTCTACAATATGAAATCAATATATTCACCTACTACAAAATGGCGGAACATTTAATAATTTCCTGAAGACAAACACATTAAAATCGATATTTCTAGAAATATCCCTTTTCATCTGCCATTCCAACAACCCGATAAAGTTTGATATTTACAGTGCGACGCGCAACTTTCACGAGACCGAATGAATTTTCAGTAACGTTTTCCGAATCGACTTTTTGTAGAAAACTTTTGAGGGTCATCCGTCTATTCCGGAAGAACAGCAAGTGCAAATAATTGGTAGTAAATCCTGAAAAGTCTACTTATTCCGTCGCGAATGTTTGTGAGGTGTCTCCTTCTACGGTGCGGAGACTTTTGAAGAGGAATAGTTATCATCCATATAAAATTAAAATGGTACACCAATTAACTGAAGATGACCCTGATCGAAGAACAGAATTCTGCGAAATCATGACGGAAACCATTGCAAGGCATCGTATCTATCTCCACAATATTTGTTTTAGTGACGAATGTACATTTTTTTAAACGGCAATGTTCACAGACAAAATTGCCATTATTGGAGTGACGCAAACCCTCACGTTTTCCGGGAAACACATACCCAATATCCAGAAAAAATAAACGTTTGGGTAGGAATATTGAGAAACCATATTGTAGGACCTCTATTTATTGATCAAAATTCAACAGGGGAACTGTATTTGAATATGCTGGAAACTATTGTTGACCCTCTCATCACTGAAATCGTCGAAGCAAATCCTAATGAATTCGATATGGATATTGTATTCCAACAAGATGGAGCACCACCACTTTACTCCAGACAAGTAAGAAACTATTTGGCTACTACTTTTCCCGGTCGTTGGATTGGCCGTAGAGATCCTACAGAATAATAATAATAATAGTAATAATTTTTATTGGTCTCAAGAAACATAAAGTTTGTAGACAGGTCAGTAGAATAATGCATTTAAAAATTTATATAAGGTCATACATTAAAATTGGTTAATGATAAAAAAATAGAAGGTATAATGCAATAGAAAAGCTAAATAATACATAAAAACAATGGCATTATACATTATAAATATATAAAGTATGTATATAGATAATGATGAATTGTGCTAATGCGTTTCTTTGTCTAGCGTATTACAATTATTGTTCTGTAATGACACAGCCGAATCTATAAATAGCTTTAAAATGTGCGTAAAAACTTCGTTTTCGGAGGCAAGCCTCGTAAGCGACACGAAAATTAACGAAAACTGACCGATTGTTTTTCGGGGAGGGGGCGTCTAATGCTAGTAATGCTATTTTTAGATTGACAGGTTTAGTTTGAGTTGAGGGTTTGAAGTGCACAGTGACAGTGCACACTTTTTTATTATAATAGATAGTTTTCGGTTCGGTGAGCAGTGAATCTCGGTGGTTTTTCTACATTACAACATTACTTATTACCGAAAAATGGATTTAGTGGGACCTAGCACAGCGTCACAACTTCCCCAGGTAAATGTAAACATTCGCAATACTTGTGATCTTGTTAATATTTTAGTAAATGAGCAGAATTTTTCAAGTCATTCCTATGACGATAAATTATACATAGTTAAAGAAGTGAAGCGACCTTGTCCAGATTTAAGTAAACGTCTTGTTACTATCGGTTCGGTGGGGTGGGGAAATCAACAAATCGGAGCTTTCAAAATACTTGGTACGAAAAGTACGACTGGCTTACTGGTAGTGTAACGTTAAACAAATTATTTTGCTGGCCGTGTATTCTGTTTGCAACAAATAATAGCGACAAAGTTTGGTCAAAATGTGGTTATAGCGATTTAAAAAACTTGTCTCGTGGTCTTTTACTACACAATAAAAGTACCCAACATATTTCTTCGAATTGCAAGCTTACTCTCATGAGAAAACAAAGGCAAAATATCGCCACAACTATAGATAATGCGCGTAAAACGGAAATTGAAAATTATAATGCCAGGGTTAAAGAGAATCGACAAATTTTGAAAAGTCTGATATTACATTACATATCTGTAAGAAAGAGTTACCTTTTAGGGGGCATGATGAATCTAATGAATCATTAAATCGCGGGAATTTTAAAGAGCTAGTTATTCTTTAAAATTCTTAGCAAATATGACACAAATTTAAAAACATTTTTAGAACATGATAATGATAATAGATCGGTTTTTTCTGGGACATCCAAAACTATTCAAAACGAATTAATTGATTCAATTGCTTTTGTTGTAAATAAGAAAATTGAAGACGAAATTTTAAATTCCTTGTTTTTTTCTTTGGCAAGTTGATGAAACAACCGACATTAGCTGTCATTCACAATTATCCGTAATTTTTCGTTACGTTGTAAATGATCAACCTGTTGAACGGTTCATGGGATTTTATGATGTAAGTTCTGGGTAACCAAATTCGAGAAATTTGACTTGCGTTCGAAATTAGTGGCTCAAACATACGACGGGGCTTCTGTAATGTTGGGAGAAGTAAATGGTTTACAGACAAAAATTAAATTTATAGATCCACCTCAGTTGTGGGTCTAAAACTATACCTAGAAATTTTATGTGCTCATTTTCAACCAAACTATTTGTACCATTTACACTAAAGATTTCACAAAGAGTTTTGGTCTCATTCAGAATGACCAGCCCGCTTACCAGATTTGACACCTTTGGACTTTTTCATGGGGATATTTGAAGCAAAAGATGTACGAAACTGGACCCACTTCAGTATTGGATATACGATAGAGAATAATAAATATTTGTAGAGATATTGATGTTACTGTGTTCGAAAATGTTTAGCGTGAAATATCGGATAGGCTGTTCATATTTCAAGAATTTCAAGGCAACCATTTCGAGTATATTCTGAACTGACCTCAAGCTTATTACCTCATATTATGTAGTTAAATGTCAATGTATTCAGGCAATTATTAAATGTTCCGCCATTTTGTAGTAGGTGAAGATATTGACTTCATATTCTATGGTTTCCATTTAATTTTTTTCCCAGATGGCGCCTACTCACCATCTTGAAAGTTTCATCTGTAAATTTCACTTCCTAAAGAGAGCTTTTGAGACAATTGATAGAGATATTATGTTGTTTAAATTGGCTCAGTAAGGGATTGATGAAAAGGTGTTAGAATGGTTCAGTGATTATTTTAACAATATAAAACAGAAAGTCCGTTTTAAAGATGCACTATCAAATAAAAAAGACATTGATGTAGGTGTTCCCCGAGGTAGCGTTCTGGGCCCACTTCTTTTTGTTTTATATTTGAACGATATTGTTCAATATATGATATATTTCAATATTTTTATTTTATGTATAAAAATTATGGCCCATTAATAATTACTTTTCACTTGAAAGAAATACATCAATAATATTCTATTGACTTTGACAATTGACACCGAACTCCCAAGCTAAATATTTTGAATAAAAAAATCCAAAAATTAACACTCACATTCAAGTAGGATGTGAACACTCTGAAAAAAATGTTCAATTTTCAGAAATAGAAAAATCACATGATTTAGGAATATGATATCTGATTTGTATGCAAGAAAGAAACAAATGATACTTACTCAGCAATGGCCCATGCAAGTCCGCAACCGTCATAAGTAGAAGTTCCTCTGCCCAACTCATCTATAATTACCAACGAATTAGACGTAGCACTCTAAAAACAAAAAACATAATGTGAAGAAACAGTTTGAATGATGTGTAATAATAATTTAGAGGACCTTGAACATTTACATCAATGGTCAACAACAGACGGACCGCGGTCGAACCTCGGACCGCCAAATATTGTAATGTGTTATATACCAAGTATAAATTAATACGTAGATAAGGTATACCATACCTTTATTAATTAAAATAATATTTTTGAGTCACATATAACTCAACTCAGTACTTATTTTACTTTAATAAGTTGCCTAGTTACCTGTTTTACAAGCCTAGTTGGCTGTTTTACAAGTACCTACAACTAATATGGTTTGATTAGTTTTCTATCTAGCCTGAGCCTGTGTTTGCAAATGCATAAAACGGTATCCACTGAAGAATTTTGGGCCAAACATGAAAATTGCAAGTGGCTATAAATTTGGCCACTATGTTTGGCTCAACATACGTATGTCATACATCTTGACAGAGTGATCTGGATAGAGTCTGCGGAGTTCGAAGAGAAAATCTCGATATTTAATCCGTTTTTCTCTTCTTTTTTGGACGATATTTGTCTCGCCAGGACAAATATCGTTTTGCTCCGGTGGTCGAGAAGGACTACATCAGGCCTATTAGCTTGTATGAGCCTGAGAGTGGGGAACGAATAGTTCCAATAAATTCGACACTTCTCGTTCCCCCCAACGGATTCAATATCCTCCGGAGCGTAGGGCAACACCGGTGTCTCGTCAATACCGTAGGAGTTCCGTAGATGGTAATATAGAACTCTTAGGGCCGCGTTATGTCGATGGATATAGGCCGAGATCGCATATGCTGGACATGCTGAAAGCAAGTGCATTAGGGTCTCGGGCGCCTCGCGGCAGGCCCTGGGCCTTGTGTCAGGAACCTCTATACCCATCACGCGACTGCGGTAGACTAAGGTGTTGATGACACCATCCTGGCAAGCCATGATGAACCCCTCAGTTTCCAACTTCAGCCCACTCGACCTGAGGAAAGCGAAAGTCAGGCGCTTTGATAAGGCAAGGTCTTCAATGTTATTGAAGAAGACCCCATGCATTGGCTTATCCTTGTGTTTCCGCACAAGTAAGGTGCGAGCTTTTATCTGAGCATTTTGCTGAACGAGTCCCAACTCGGTGACAGAGTTGTGGTTACCTCGTTCAGGGTCGAAAACTATACAGAATTCATCAGCTGCTCGGGCAGCTGCCCTAAAGAGAAACGCTCCAATTCCTGCTCTCTCATAGTCATGGACCATGCCGAGAAGGGGATCCGAACTCCTGACGACTTCACAGGCTCTATCCAGTACCAGTCTGTCATGTAGACACTCCAAACTCAAAAGTCCACGGCCTCCCTGTTGTCGCAGGAAGTACAACCGTGGAACGGACGATTTGGGATGCAAACTCCTATAGAAATGCGTCATTTTTCGGATCTTTACGTCGAGTTGATACAGCTCCTCCTAAGTCCATTTACTACTCCAAACGAGTAGATTAAGATTGGAACGGCAAACATATATTTGTTGCAGCAACTTTGTTCTTCCCCGACAGTTCTGATGAGCAGATCTGTCGAAGTTTGTGCTGATACTTGCCGCGGAGAGAGTTCTTCACTGCTGTTACCTCTTGTGAGTGGCGTTGTTCCACCCCGAGGTAAGTATACGTCTCCCCGGCGTCTAGATGGTGTAGGATGCTTCCGTATACGAGCTGCACATCATATCAACACATCACTCTCTCATAGAATCTAATCTACGACATGGAATTCCTTTCTGGGGTGCTTGTACTCTGACAAAACTGCAATCAATTTCAGTTATACAGAAAAGAGCTGTACGTTTTCTGTGTAAAGCAAAACCACGAGATTCTTGCAGACCACTGTTTAAGGAAAAGAAAATCCTCACCGTAATATCTATTTTTATTATTGAAACTATATGTCTCATAGCAAAACATCAAAATCGATTTTCAATTAACACAAACGCCACTCGACAAAGAAACGACTTTAATTTGCCCATTCCAAAATATTCCTTCATTAAAGACTCTTTCATTTATAATGGGTTGAAAATGTTCATTCACCTACCATCAAATCTGAAATTTACATGGAATAACGTAAACTTTAGGGTGTCACCTCACAAACCACAAGAGGAATCTAAACCATCTGTCGGTAACAAATAAGACAGATGGGTATCCGCGGCTAAGCTAAACAGTGGAGACGGGAGTGGGTTAAACAACTTAGCAAATTTCCAAATAGATCTTAATGGGCGCCAGGTAAATTTAATCCTTCAGATACCCTAAGTAACTCACAATATCAATAACTTACCAATTAATATTGGAAATAAAAGATAAACATCCCCAATATGATTTATTCAGTAATCCTAACTTACATGGATTACCCAACAACGCTTCTAAAAAACTACAATACGTCGAGTAAAACTACCACGAAAATTGAGTAGGTGAAATCGTAAATACTAGTATCGGAAGGTAAGACAAACTCGTTTGCGTCGCGTGAGCTCAGGCGTAGGCGCATCGGTGTCAATCAGCAATCGTGAAAGGAAGAATATACCTCAATTTCCGTTTCACAGATGAATCACTATATCAATCTGGTATCAATAAACAAACTCTTTATCAATAAACGATAAACAAACACTATATCAACAGGTATCAATAAACATAAGGGCAACAATTATTCAAATATCTCAGTATATCACAAATATTCAATTAAATCAATTATAACTTGCGTGCTCCTTTTGGGCCACCCGGTATATGGTGTTAGGCTACCCCGTAGTTCGACGGAAGTGGCGGAGATGGATCACCCTGTAGCACCACCAAGATAGATCACCCTGTAGGGCACAACCAGTAATGGACCAGTAATGGATCACCAAATAAGATCCAGAAAGATAAATAAAAGAAGGAAAGAAGAAAAAAAAAAGGAAAACAGGAAAACAAGAAAACCGGAAAGCTGGAAAACAGGGAAACAGGAAAAAAAAAACCCTGGCCAAGGGGTTTTCTATACGTTTCTTCGTGTGCGGTGCTCTGCACGGAAGTCCTACTGGGACTTGATGAGTGACTAAGGGCCTTCTGTTTCTTATGAATCTAATTTCGGAAATCCTTCCACCTGGCACGAGTTCGGTAACCACCACAAATCCTCAAAAAAGATTAAATTTCAGACTGCAAATATCCACACCAAAATGACCAATCAGTCTTCCACTATACAATCCATGACCCATCAAAACTCCTTCTCAAAGCAATGCAACCCTAAACAACCCTTGACAATTTGAGTAACCGATCAATCCTCCACCCGTGAACAACTGTAGAACTAGTTCTGTGTAGTTCGTCGGAACGACACTACGAAAGTTCGGCGGATGTCAACCAACAGCTGTCCCTTAACTTTGAAATTGAATGTTTACAAAAATATTGTTCCAACCTATTTTCAACTATTTACCAATCCTTATTCATGCGATGGAATAGAAACATATAAGGTAAGTCGCCACATCCTTCCCTTTCAGTACGAATATTTGAACATTCATCTTATGCAGAATATTTACCGAAAATATCAAACAGTATTCAGAAACCAGAGCTAACTAATATTGTTTTTCAGGCGATATGGCTCTAATATGTCAGTAAACCTTCTGGAAGTGATTAATAACAATCTATGCAAAAAATATTCTCGGAAAGGTATAGAGAATAAGGCAGGCAACGGCTGAAAAATGATAGGCGAAGTAAACTGGGAAACAAACAACAACTATTTCAACCTAGCGAGGAATTTTCGGATCTCCAACGTCGATTGGCAAGAGGAGAATGCGTAAGTACTGGTCAAAGCAGTTAGTCAGGGAGCATACATTTATTCTTGTACATTTCAGGTATGGTTTTCTATGGAACTGGGAAGATTTCCATTACTATGATGTTAAATGAATAAAATCAACTTGTAACTGAATTACATTGTTAATATCCTCTGAATAAAGATCTTAAAAGGTAAGGTAGTGTTTTGAAAGGTCACATAGGAGCAGTATTGATCTAGTGCTAAATTGAAACGTAACAAGGGAAGTTTTGAAGGATTTTTTTTGTGAGAGAGCCTATTATAATTCATCAGAGTATTATCAAGATACTTTTTGATTCGACTTGTGGCTGACTCGTTTTATGTAGTTAATATTGAAAACTTTCCAAATAAACTCTTATTGGTTATATGACTATATTTGTGCAAGTGATGTATTGTGCTATGTAAATACTAATTGTTTTTGTTTTTGTATTTTTTTGTTCTTTGTACATATGTTCAATAACTACCTGAAATTTTATTCAACAACTACCTGCCAATGTATATTATTTTATAGTGTATAGTGTATAACTTGACAAGTAGCGATAGCTGATATGTGTGAATTTGTTTCTCGAATTATTTCAACAAAGCTTTGTCAATAAGATGTCAATCTTCGGAAAATAAAGCATATTTTGACTTTGACTTGACTGTGTCTTTCAAAGTAGCGTGAATGGCTCTAATATTTTCCAAGAACCGGGCCCGATTTTGGCAGATTGGGTTTCAAATTTGTATTTTGGGTTCATTTGTTTGGGATGCATAGCCGACTTGTTTTATATTTTAGCGTTGATGCCATGGGAAAATTCTGTTTTAAAAAAAAATTCTGTTTAAAATTCTGTTTTTCCGTTAACCAGCTGTCGCACTCCTACGAACGACAACCCTCAGAAGTCGAATTTTGTGCGAGCTAAGGATTAACGAGGTCTTACCTTTTAACGTGTGATTCCTAAAGAAATGGTTATACGCTCACTGTCAACAATATATGTCAATCGCACACTAAATACCGAGTCTTGCGAAGAGATGAAAGAGAAGCATATGTTCGAAATACGGCTAGCGCTGTGGGTTTAGTGAGAGAAGAGGGTCTGCCTGCCGCTACCGTATGCGTGAGACGAAGGGAAGCCAGACAGACTGGCGCTGTAACGCGTTACGTAACAAAGCGGTTTACCCCCATAAAAAGTTATCACTTCAAAAAATGTTTGTGAACATTTTCCATTTTTTAATTGTTATGATGGTATTCTATCACTAGTTCTGCAAATTTTCACATTAGATACTTTCACTCTATTCGTAGCAGCCACCGAAACACTGGCTACCAATAATAAGAGATGGGTATTTTCACAGGACTTATGTCCTTTATACAACGGAACAAAAATTCTTATAAACTCCTTGACTTTATGGTTGATAATTTGTTTTAATTTTCACGTAATTTCTTTATGGAATATGTACAGACTTGACTCCATAAAAAAGAATAAGAATCCTTTGACATCCTGTGGAGATGATTCTGATGAATGCCTGGTTACTAAACGAGAAAACGCAAATAGAGTTTTCAATATGGATTACCGCAATTACTACAATTACACACAGTTTGTGTACGTATTCCGTGAAATTTGAACATTCAGCTTGTCCATGTACAAGGACCTTATGAAATTTCTTGTTTTATAAATCAAATTCGTTTAACCTTGCTACAACATAACTAACCTTTATGATTGAAGATATCTCAATCATTTCCAGCATGAAAGTTGACAATCCCTTCAGCTGACAGTCATCAGCTCCAACTCTGACCAAAATACCATCCACCACCGAGATGTCAGCTTTTGCGCAAGGAACAAAACTGCCAATGTGTGCCATGAGAACACAAAGCCCAATACTTCTGATGTATGTGCTCTTACCACACATATTCGGACCTAAAAATACGACGATGTTTTGAATATAAGGTGTCAAGTATATATCTAATATGATCAGATGATTGGTTTGTGGGTCCTACTCGTGAAACCACCCCAATTGTAAATGTACACATAAAGTAACTATACAAGATTAATCTCACAGTGAAAACTGCTCGTCATTCGTTTTTTGTCAGATTTTCTTCATACATTTTTTTCTCGACATCTGATATCCCCACACATACTTACGCGCGTCCACACATACACACGCGCGCCCACACTTACATACGCGCTCCCACAGATGCGCCCGCGCGCCCACACATGCACACGCGCACTCACACATATCTAGGCGATCCCACAGATGCGCGCGCGCGCCCACACCTACACAGGCGCGCCCACACATACGCGCGCGCGCCCACACATACGCGCGCGCGCCCACACTTACATACACGCTCCCACAGATGCGCCCGCGCGCCCACACATACACAGGCGCGCCCACACATACACAGGCGCGCCCACACATGCACACGCGCACTCACACATATCCAGGCGATCCCACAGATGCGCCCGCGCGCCCACACATACACAGGCGCGCCCACACATGCACACGCGCACTCACACATATCTAGGCGATCCCACAGATACACACGTGCGCATATACACGCCCACACACTCATACAGTCACTCACTGCTAAACATTTTGACCGTTTTATTGTCGTTTTTACTTTAAAAAAGCACGCACGTCCAAAAATACACACTTACACAAGTGCTCCACACATACACGAGCGCGCACACTCGTACACGCGCGCACACACATACACACGCACCCCCACAAATAAACACACGCGCCCACACATAAAAACACGCGCCCATACATAAAAACACGCGCCCACACATAAAAACACGCGCCCACGCATACGCATGCGCGCGCGCGCCCACACTTGCACATGCGATCCCACAGATACGCGCGCGCGCCCACACATACAGGTGCGCCCACACATGTACGCGCGCCCTCACACATACGCTCGCGCGCGCATTCACGCACATGCGCATATAAAACGCCCACACACACACAGTCACTTACTGCTAAACATTTTCAACGTTTTATTGTCGTTTTTACTTTAAGAAAGCACGCACGTCCAATCATGCACACGCGCCTCCACACATAAACACGCGCCTCCACACATACACAAACGCGCCCACATACGCACGCGCTCCCACACATACCCGCGCGCGCACAAATACACAGGCGCCCCGCAAATACACGCGCGATACCACAGATAGAAACGCGCCCACACACGTGCATATACACTAGCCCAAACAGTCATACTGCTAACTATTTCTTTACGTTTTATTATCACTTTAGAAAAGCAATATTAGCAGAAGACGATTAATTCATCTTCATTATTCCCCCCTAAAATTTCTTCAATATTTCTTTCTACCTTCAAACTAGTAATAGTTTCATTCTGTGCACTTGTGGTATTAAAACTGTCTTCTTGAAGACACGATTTTGTTGGTCAACAGGTTCCTCAGTATTAGGTTAATTTGAAAAAATGAAGTGCTACCATTCTTAGATGTCTCTTTGATGTGAGTAGAAAGATTGTTCATGCACTCAGATTTTTTCCCGGCAGTTCTCTCTCAACAGAGTGGTTGTAATTTCACCTAAAAAAATATTAACTGCTCACCAGTGATCACATAGAACAGTTTGTCATTTTGTTGAAAGGAAACATCATTAGGAATGAAGGATACATCATCTTGTGCTTCTAAACAGGGATGTCTAACTTTCTTCAGTTTCAAAATTCCTGAAGCTTCTTTGTGGAGTTTTGGTCTCACATAAGGTATGCGAGCAGATATCGCGGCAATGGCAAACGAAACAAGAACGTCAACAGTTGCTATGAGCGTGTTCAAAGTTCTCAGGCTATCGGCATATCCAGCTGAAAAAAAATTAATGGTTAGTTGACAAAAGTAAATTGAAGATTTCGAAATAAAAAAATATATATCCACAGTTTCACACATCCACAGTATCCACTGTTTGAAGTAACTACTTGGAACAATATTAAGAAACTTAAAACGACAAGCCAGTTGAATTTCATTAGTTAGGACTTCCATTGAATACACTTACATGCTACTTCAAATATTTCATCAACAACTGCTTTCTGCCTCTCAATATAATCAGCATTCAACATTTTATATTCTTCATTCAGCTCAACCAACTTATCAGTAGTAAATCTTACTCCTCCTTTAATGGCGTCTAATATTTTATATCTTTTATTTTTTCTAAGCACCGGCTCTTCCTTGAGGGTAACTCTCAAAAAATACCCGTGCTGATCATTGCACTCCAGTTTGATAGTTTTTCCATCTTCAAAACCTAAATCATCTGCTGACGTTTTTAGAACCTTTTGCATCTTTTCACCAACTCTATCCTTCTTCCTGTGCAATTCTGAAATTCATTGATTGGGGAATAACTAAAAGATAGATAAAAATATTGTAACTGTTCAACTAACTCACCCTTCAATTCGTCATCAAAATTACGTTTAACCAAAAATTCCCCTCTATCAACCAAATCTAGATCTATGGTCGTCTCAATCATGCTTTGGTAATTCTCTAAATCAGATAGAATATCGGCGATAGGACTGATCAGCATATCACGAACACATTTGTTTTCAATTTTTCTTAAGGTTTGTAAAACAGCTGGCACACCATTGATAGTTTGATAAACCCGGTAGCAGTCCTGCAGAGTAGCTTTCTTACAAGTAATTTTTCTTGACAATGGCATTAGATCTTGAATTCGTGGGAGATTATCTTTTGAAAGAATCGCTCTAGCTTCAGCATCATTCAAAATACTTTCTACAATATCAAGTCTATCATTGAGTGAGTTGTAGTCTTTTAATGGCTGTTTGATCCATTGGTCTAAAAGACGCTTTCCTTGAGGTGTTACACAATTGTCCAAAATACCTTTCAGACTAGAATATTTTGATGCGGTAACACTTGATACGCCTTCTGCATTCTGAGATGCTACCTTAGGCAGAACATTAAGAGCATAAAGTGCTGCATTGTCCAACCTGACAAACCTGTGTGCGTTCAATGTACCCAGCTTGAACTGATTGAAATTCTTTTCATCACCTGTCAAGTTGAGAAACTTGATTAATGCCTGCAGGCATCCCATTGCATCATTCATGTTGGTTTCACTATAAACAGCAGCATTTCTTTGCTGGTCTTCGTGGAAAAATAACAACCTATTGAGGTCTTGCATGATATTGTCTACATTGAAATCGGATCTTTTCAGTTTAGCAACTAAAATTCCATTGCGGTCTAACAATGTGTTCAATGCCTTCAGGTCTGGTGACTCTCCAGCTGGTATAATGCATTCTTTTGGACCAAGTTGTGCGATTAACGCTTCTAACTCTGAAAACGACTCATTGTCGTTTATTTCACATACATCAAATTTTGCCTCAGTTATATTCACACAGCTTATTGCCAATACCTGAAAAAAATAATCGATATGAGAACAACACAGTACGTTAAGTTTGAAGGTGATTGACAATGTTTCATGATGAATTTCACTAGTTCGAACTTCCATTGTCTACTATATAAAATGATTTGAAATCCCTGAAACAACTAAAAAAGAATAATTAAAAATGAATAGCTGAAAATAACAATTATATTGAGCAAAATGAACCTGAAATGAAATAATAGTGAAATAAACTACAAGTAAAAATAGAACAATTGAATAANATTGATATATTCTGTATGATGAGAAGATAATTGAAATATGGTGAAAACTAATTTTGTTTAAATATTTTATTTTGGGAAGGACAATTTATATTTGAAATAGTTTTTTATTATTTAGAATCGTTACCTTCTACAGATCTATAAAATAATCAGAATATTAAATTTACAAATAAATACAAATGTAGAAAGGGCAAAAAGTTACTGCATTTGATCTGCTGCATTTTGGTAACTTGAATTTAAAAAATTTTGCATATTAATAGAAATATGTATCATCTGGTGACGTTTTAAAGACACTATCCATTTTCTTTATTCAACCTATTTACATCAAAACATTATAATTTGTAGTTATGCTTCGTCTTTTGATGTAAATATATTTGATATTGATCGTCGGTATGATAATGAAGATGGATAAAGTATTCGAAACATCACCAGATAAGTATAAAAATATAATAGATTTCCGCGGTTAGAAATTTGAACATCTGATTTCGAGTTGAACCGCGTTCAAAATTTTGCGTTGTTAGACGTTTCGGCTTCGACTTTGACATTTTCAGGAAATAGAAAAGTGTGGCTGCACGAGAGACACAGTTTATATATTCTTGTTGGTTTGGAAATGAACATTCATATTCCTTATTGGATTTTATAGTTGATACAGAAACAATTTTATAGATTTAATGGGAATACTTACTTCGAATAAGACATTGCGATAATTGTAATCTGAGAAAAGTCTACAGGTATTCGTTGAGTGATTGTTCACTGGATGAATCAGATTCATTAGGATTGATGACAACGGAAATAATTTTTTCTGATAATGAGTCTATGCGATCATCCAGATCCCACATGTCTGCTTCGATTCTGATTGTTTTGTGGATACATTTTTCCCAAGCTTTTTGTTCTATTGTTTCCAGAGCACTGTATAGGTATTTCTTCACTTCATACAGCTTGAAGGTCTTATTATTCCTTGCGATGAACCCTTTAACTTGAGCCCAAACCAACTCTATTGGATTCAATTCACAGTGATAAGGTGGCAACCGAAGAACCGACATTCCATTAGTCTTCGCCATCTCATCGGTGACATACCTGACGAATTTTGACTTATGACGTTTAGCCAAGTTGAGGAGCTCCGCCTTTAACATGGTCGATTCAAAAGGAATAGCTTTTGTTCCATTTGGTATTTTATTAATAGTTTGTGGTGTATAGGACTGATAAAAAATAAATAGGTTTATTTATTTTTAAGCAATTATAATAGTTATATTATGGATTTTACTTGTTGGGTTCATAACTGAACTCTAATGCTTGACTGGTTTCAACAATTGAAACTTTCTTGACGTACCATTTGGGATTTTATAATAATTCTGTAGTGTTCTTGACCGATAAATAAATCATGTTAATTTGCTCTCTTGCTTGCGTTATCCATTACTATTACGGATCCCTGCGGAAGTTTTACAAGTATGTTTTTAAACCATTTTTCGAATACTGTGGCATCCATTTCTTGATGATAATCTCCATTTTTCTTCGATTCAAACACCATCAATCCATCTTTCACGAATCCTTCACAGCTGCCTACGTGAGTGATGATAAGACGACGACCTTTTCCAACTGGAATTTTCAAACCAGTGGACCAACCTTCCATAAAGGCTTGTCTTCCACTTTTGATGTTCTGATTTTGCCAAACCTTTGAGACGGTATGACCCTCATTGACCTATGTTTCATCCAAACTAAAAATAGATTTACCTAGTGCTCTGGCTTTCTTTATTTCTCTTAAATAGTTTCTTCTCCATTCTACAATCTCTGATTTTTCTATTAACATGATCTTTCTATCTTGCTTTCTAAAACTGAAATTCAGCTCATGTAATATCTTCCATAATCGAGTTCTTCTTATATAAAAAAAAAACTGTCTTCACGAATAACTGACAAAACTTTATTTAATGTAGGTATTTCGTTTTTTATGTAAAAACAGTGTACTGTTCTCCCAATAGAATTCTCCACTTCTTCATCGATACACAACACAACAAAAAAATATTTTTTGAATGTTTCCTACACTAAATTAGTCAATTTCTACTAATTTTGGGGTGATAAAAACGAAAATAACAATGAAAAATTTTTATTAGCTCTGGTTTTTGAGATACACAGTACTTAATCTTAAAGAGTAGTTATACTATACGTGAAAAGTGAAAGTACATAAAACAATATTGTTATGTTTCTTTTAGAA